ATCACTTTGTTTCATCAAAACCCAATGTATTTATTATTAACATTTTACATTGTTTCTTAGCGATTGATAACCAAAGGAGCGCAACACTGCAGTGAAAGTCACAAGCACCACTGGTTTATCGAAATGGAATTGTGGCGTTAAAACAATTTGCTCCTTGGTCCTGTTGAGTGTGGAGCACGCAGGCCATCTGGTGGCGAGTGTACGGGTTCTTTATTCTTTGGTCCTGTTCGGTAAAGTCACGTAGGTAAAAAATAAAACAACAAAAATCACGACGTTTCGGCCACAACACAAGCGGCCTTCATCAGGTGAAGGGACCAGACTGTCTCGAGGACATCGCTGGAGTGAAACAGAGACAGCCTGGTCCCTTCACCTGATGAAGGCCGCTTGTGTTGTGGCCGAAACGTCGTGATTTTTGTTGTTTTATTTTTTACCTACGTGACTTTACCGAATAGAACCAAAGAGTATGGATCCTTGCAGTCACGAAAGCTTTAAATCTAGAATGTAGGGGTTCTGTACAAGGTCTCTTGCCCCCTCCTCGACTCGTAATGGATTGCGCGCGGCGCTGTGGTGCGGTTTGTCTAAATTGTTAAGGCCCGAGAAGCCCCTGATTTTAGCGATCATAAATCTCCGTCCAAATCCAGCACAGGCAGCTGCTGAGCACTTTGATATCCTCTTGCAGGCTCCTTATCCGGTCATAGACTCCGCAAGTATCAACAAAACCATAGCTCTCTTAAAGTGTATATGTTAGGCGTGGAATACCCCCCCCCCCACACACACACCATTCCCGCCAACTCCCTTGCTATTCTGTCACAATTTTGGGTCATGATTCGATTGATGAATAAATATTTTTTGCCATTGTGGTTCATGGAATAATCGGAAGTGTTTGGAGATGCACGTGCTGCAAACATAACAATCGTAAACAATTACTCAATGCATAATTACACACCTATTGCAGTGGGTTAGCACACTGAATTTGCAATCCAGAGGTGGCTGTGACGGTGCCGTCGCTGAAACGAAAGGCTAGTTTCCTTAAATGCCCTGCCTCTGTCCGCCCAGCTAATATAAATGGTCCTGGGTGATGGTGGTAAAGTATGGGTATAACACGTAGGCTTTCGCGACCAATATTATTCATAATAAAGGTTTTTGGGTTAGATCGCGTTTATTAAAATAACACATCACATAAAGTCTTCTAAAGCTAACCAAATACTACACAAAGCTAGCGAATTATTATTAATAGAGAGAATACAGCACAATAGGAGTGAATTATCTTACATTTCGGAATCGCTAAAGCAGTTACACTTAGATATAAGCAATAGTGTATCTATGGATTATTGGAATATAATCGATAACATAACACAACAATCGGCTGATAATGTGTTTAAACTAACAAAAACTAACCAAATTAATAAATTTTCTAGACTACATAATAAACAAATCCCTACTGAAAACCAAAAATGTAAAAACAAAACTGTACTGAATTTGACCAACACTGTATTAACCGGTGACATGGTCTCTATCCTTTCTAAAGGCCTTAACTTTGCCGTTACCCCACGCACAATTCCAGTGGATGAGATAATTGCTGAGGTAGAATCAGCAGTTAGACTCCTTCCACATAATGAGGCAGAGATGACTAGACATGAGGTTGCTAAAATAATTGAGAATAGCAAAGTTCCAAAAGTAAATATTAGCTCTAACGAGGCAAAAGCCTTAAGAGAGCTGCGTGTAAATAAGGATATCCAAATCCTAGCAGCTGATAAAGGCCGCACTACTGTAGTGATGTCACGAGCAGATTATGATAATAAAATTAGAAATTTACTAGAGGAAAGTACCTACATTAAAATTAAACGAGATCCAACTAATACTTTAGAACGTAAGACCACTGCAATAATTGCAAATTCATTAATCCCTAAAAATGAGCAATACCTAATTAAGCCAAGGGCCTCAAAACCACCTAGACTCTATGGGCTACCAAAGATTCACAAAATCGGCATCCCATTACGACCCATTGTCAGTACAATTGGCTCTGCCACATATCAATTAGCAAAATATATAACCAAACAAATACAGCCCTACATCGGTAAGACATCTTCATTCATAAAAAATTCAGAACATCTTGTGAATGTGATTAAAGATATTAAACTTACTCCTCATGATATTCTCGTAAGTTTTGATGTGATTTCTCTATTCACTAAGGTTCCAGTGGACGAATCGCTTAAATTACTTGATACACTAGTAAAGAATACCGGTTTACAAAAAGATATTCCGAAACTTGCTGGCCATTGTTTAAATAACACTTACTTCTTATGGAGAGGGGATTTCTTTAAACAAAAGGAAGGAGCAGCAATGGGTTCTCCTTTATCCCCTGCTATAGCAAATTTGTACATGGAAAACTTTGAAATAAGAGCACTTGCCTCGAGCACATTAAAACCATCCTTTTGGTTTAGGTATGTGGATGACACTTTGGTTGTCTGGCCACATGGTAAAGATACACTTAATGATTTTCTAAATCATCTCAATGCACAAAACCCGGCCATCCAGTTCACCATGGAAATGGAGGTGAATAACACACTCCCATTCCTAGATATTTTGCTTGGACATGGCCTAAACGGTAAAATAACACACAGCGTTTACAGAAAGCAAACGCACACTGATGCCTATCTGAATGCAGAATCACATCATCATCCAGCTCAAAAATCCTCTCTTACCAAGACGCTCGTACATCGGGCAAAAACAGTGTCAGATGGTGAGAGTCTAGTGAGAGAGATTAAACACGTTAAAGACGCACTATGACAGAATGGCTACAATAATGCTCAAATTAACAGAGCACTGAATGCCAAATCACGATCGCAAAGCAATACTACTGAAAGCGACCAGATTGTTAAAACAATAAAAATTCCATATATCTCAGGAGTAACTGACAAACTAGCCCGCGTTTTGCAAAAGCAAAACATTACAGTAAGATTTGGTACAGTACACAAAATTCAAAAACTAGTATCTTGCACTAAAGACGCATTACCTAAACTATCAACAGAAGGTGTATATCGGATTAATTGTTCATGTGGCAGCTGCTACATTGGGCAGACGGGACGTAACATCAGCGTAAGACTAAAAGAACATCAGAGAAATATTAAATTATCTCAAACACAACTGTCGGCAGTGGCAGAACATGCTTGTCAACAAGGACACTCAATTGATTTTGACAATGTTGCAGTGGTGTGTAAAACTAATTATTACTGGCAAAGACTAATTAGAGAATCCATTGAAATTGAGAGGAACAAGAATAACTTTAATCGCTCTGACAGCTACCGGCTTAGTGCGGCCTGGAAGCGTATTATTAAATAATACACATTACATTTTGATTTAAAGAATTACTAATCTACAACTCATTACTAATCATAACCAATGACTGATTACTAATCGATTATGTAATTACATTACCCCCCCTCCGCCTCTAATCACTGCACCTGATGAGTTAAGTGATGACGTCACCCTGCTGCTCTATATAAAACCGGGAGCAAGCGAGGGCTTTACCATTCTGGCGAATTGCTTGATGATGCTGGAAGTATTTACCAGCGAAACGTCGTACTCAAACTGTAAATGTGGATTAACTCTTCAACACACCGGTGGGCTGAAGTAGTGAATTATTTGTATTTTGTCAACGTGACACTTTTTTTGCTGATTGGCCGTGTCGGGTGGTGGAGGGTTACGACACATTTATAAATAAACGCGATCTAACCCAAAAACCTTTATTATGAAAGTATGGGTAGTCCGACAGTTCCAAAGCGTCTGGCCGGCGTGGAAGATGAAGGCCACAATGCCCTCTAGAGAAGCACTCTGGTGTGAGCAAGACAATGAAAGCCTGCACAGAGACCTTTTAAACCTTTTATCCTGCATAAGTAGCTCCTAACCAATCAGCACTGAAGATATCGAAGTGTGAACAAACCCCCGTTACCAACATGGCATTGGGAAGCATTCATGATGATTCATCCAGCGGTGAAATTAAAGCAATATGTATATCATGTCTTCCAGTTGATCGTTGCACATTTGTAAACGTTTCCACTTTTGCAACAGCAGTCACTTTCAAACGGCAGTCACTGCAGAACATCAAAGCTGAGAACTTCTGACCGCAAATATCTGCATTCCCTCCACTTTCATCAATACCCGGAAGGTCAGTGCTGACTTACAAAGGAGTTTTCGCTAAAGTGGAAGAAAACAGATACTGTAATTCCTTTTAACCAGTACCGGATTAAGCTGGCGTGGGGCCTGTAGCATATGTTATAAAGGGGCCATAAATAAATAAAAAATACGTAAAGATTCAAACACAAATCTTAACTTGCATAGTAAAGTAATTGTATTTTAAATTTTGACTTAACACTTTCGTGACTGCAGGAATTCATATTATTTGGTTCTTTCGGTAAAGTCACTTAGATAGAAAAATAATATTAATACAAATAAAGCTATTTTTTTTCAACAAAAACCAATAATGTAGACTGTAGCCTTGTTATTAAGTTTGGTGAGTGTACTGACAGTCTATAATGTAGACTGTAGCCTGGTTCTTAACCTCGGTGAGTGTACTGGCAGTCTATAATGTAGACTCTAGCCTGTTTTTTAAGCTTGGTGAGTGTACTGGCAGTCTATAATGTAGACTGTAGCCTGGTTTTTAAGCTTGGTGAGCGTATTGGCAGTCTATAATGTAGACTGTAGCAATGGTTATAATGTGAACACAAACATTTTTTTTGTTCCTGAGTAGTAATTGTTATTTTCCAATTGCTTATGCCTCAAAAGTACAGAAAATGGCTATTATTCCCCACAAAATTTGCTTTTGTGACCAGGACAGTGATATTTTGAAATTTGCCTATTTTCAATGAGAAAACGTGTGCATTTGTGTCATTCCTTCACACTGCAGGTTGAAGGCCTCTCCACTCTGCCACCATCTCTCACAATTTCGCGAAGTAATACTGTGCTGTGTTCATATCAAAATAACACACGAGACACCCAAGTTTTGTCACCTCGCCGTGTTTAATTTAAAAGGTGCCACATTTACGAGGCAATGTGCACCATCGATTAACTCCTTTTTCCCCGTTACCTTTGGAGCACATGATAGTTGTGGACTATTACGTGTGGCGATTTTACCTTGGTCAATTGCGATTTTTTAGGGGGAAAATTATGGACACATAACTCCTATCTACACAACTCTATCCTCAATATACTGAGTGCGGTTTACAGCTTATTTTGGTCTACAGTGACAAGGCATTCGACCCTTTTAAAGACATATCGTTATATACTTCATGTTTTATGAGCCACATGAGTGTTCTAATTGAGTTCATGTGAAAATTTTATTTTTACAGTGTTCATATACTTCAACTGGTATCATACATGCCATGGATGAATATTTTTAAATATATACAGTAATTTAGTCCATTGTCAGCCGTCCATTGCTGTAAAAAAACACGTTATGGGTGTTGTTTGATCGTACGCTATATCATGAAGCTAGTTTGTACTGGTTGGTGAAGAGGGGAGGCCCAGGACCGGTTCAGATATGACAACTCATTGTCAATCTTTACAACAAACCTGCAGCTGGGAATCAAACACAGGTCACTGGGGTCCTCAATGGATAAATCCCAATGTCATCTTAATCTTTGCCACTTGCTGTAAACCTTTTACACACTGTGATATTATTGTATTCAGTGCTCTCTAAATGTCATTTTATTTTATTTCACTAAAATCAAAACAAAAATTTCAGTCTTAGTTTTCTTATTTTGTTCTCTGATCATTAAAACTCCATTATCTCAATCGTACTTTCGCTCTTTCATACTCCCATCCACACTTTACCTCGCTCAGCTCGCATTCTTTCGCTCTATCTCTCTCACTCAGACTCCCTCCCCCACACCCCCCCACTCCGTGTCTCGCTAGACAGCGCAATTGGGAGCGAAGCACTCCGTCTCTTCCTCCAGCTCGGGACACGGCGCGCCTTGGTTGGCTGGCTTCACTCGTATGTAACGCGTCCGCCGTTTCACTCCGGGCTGCCCGCACGTATCCACGGAGCAGAGCCCCCAGGGTGACCATTTGGCCACCTCACAGTCCAAAGGTGTCTCTGCAAGGCACGGTCACGGCTGTGAATGGGGATTTGACTTTTTCACGTGAATAGTTGCTGAACTCCCCGGTAGGACGGGGGTAGGTGCGTGGCTTGTAAACCACAGCCAAGGTGGGCCTGGGAGAGGACTTTTTTTTTAAATTCCGGATCACTGAGCCAACAAACCCGGGTGAAATTAACCCCAGGGTTTGATGTAAACCCCAGATGCTGGTTGAGAAGCATGAATCTTTTTTTACTTCATTTTGCCGAGTTACCAAATTAGCGTCAGGGTGTCAGGAAAGGCCTGGGTTCGATTCCCAAACTCGGGCACCTTTCTCTGTAAAGTCCATATGTTCTCCCCCTATTCCGCATGAGTTTCCTCCAAGTTCTCCCAGTTCCCCCCCCCCCCGACCCCATAACAAAAAAACACATTGTCAATTTTTAAAATATCAATCTCAGTTCAGATTTGTAATAATTTTAAATATAACCCACAAATTACTCATCTCGGAATCATCCCCCACCCCTACTGGCTGACTAATGTTCATCACCGAATCAGGTGTTGAGTCACCTTGTGCCACACAGGCACAGCTGCCCATAAGGGGATCTGCGCTCTGAGACGTTTCATTACGAGCGCAATAAAAATGAATAGCCTTTAATAGCGCAGTATATTAAATAGCCCCTCAGAATTCTCCACATGCTTGATGAAGTGAAAGGATTACAATGATTTTTTTTACTACAGTACTGTATACTTTGACCTCAGTCTAGCAGTATAAAGTAACATACACTGTGGGTATATATTATCATGATGGTTTAGATTTCAGGATTATCACGAGTCTAACAAAAAATATTTCAATGATTTATTTATTCACACATATCACGTCACAATCATCGTCTAAGATGATCACTTACCGAATATCATACATCCTAATTTTAAATATACAGCAGACTAACTTAATTACAGTGAATTATTACAAATTATTTAATGCACATACAGTGTTAGATTGCAAAAAGAATTGCGCTCGAGAATGCAGCATGCTCTCACGCAGGGGATTCGGCCAGTTTGTCTCCAACCGTATAATTATTGCCCCCACTTATACATGTGGAGGACACGGTCGAGTTCCCAAGGCCAGGCACGTGGTGGAGTCTGTGTGTGTGTGTGTTGTAACCTCCCCTGTGCCTTTGCCCACCTGTCAGCTGCTCTATGTCATTGCCCTTGGGTGGCGCCTTCTTGGAGGAGTGTGGCCTCTTGCCCATGCGAGTGAGGACAAGTCGTGCCAACGGGGGAAGTTGTTTCAGCTTGGGGTAGTAGAATGAGTTTGCTGGATGGCTCGGGGAAGAAGATGTCATCTGCAGAATGGAGAATAGCATGACGTTGTTCGGTTAGTCGACGCGCTGACGTGTGAGCTCAGCCCTCTGGTTTCTATCGTATAATTGCTCCATTGCACCCATTACACCACAGTCTTCGCTGCGTTCGTATTGATTGTAGAAAATGTAAGAATGGCAATGGTAGCAATAAATGCTTCCTCGGGGCAGTACAATGCGTTGATTCATTGATATCCATTCTTAATTTAATTATACATGCGTCACACCGCATACATACGAATGCATGTTGTTTGTATTACTATTTTTTGTATATTAATCATTGCACCCCCTCATACTTTCCATTCTGCCCATGATGACGATGGCAACGATGGCTATGAGAGTAATCATGTGCTGATCAATGTGGTGATTAGGATACAGACGTCTATGGCAGCGGGGTAACGGTAATGATGATGATGAGAATCACATCTGCCACACTGCAGATGGAGAAAAAGAAAAGCAGAAAAAGCGCGCTGTGCGTCGGGTCCCGGCGTGCCTGCGTTATGGGCTCCTGGGGAATGGTGGCGTAGTTGGGCGAGGAGAAGGTGAAGCCGCTATCCGTGCCGGCGTCGTACGGCTGAAGGTCGAGGGAGAGTCTCTCCTTCCAGCGCTCGCCCTCGCACAGGTTCAGGCTATCAACGCCCACGAACCAATCCGGGCTCGGCACTAGACGCACCATCAGCGACAACTGTGAAGGAGAAAAACCAACAACCCGCACCTCCGATTAACGCTGTTGGCTACATACGGTGCAAAAGAAGTTCAACATGCATATATTTGACTCGGAATTCCCTCCCATAGTCAAGTTTCCCAAGTTCTCATGACCTTGCTCAATTACGGTACTATAGCACGTGAAGTAGTGCTGTTTGTTGATGGCGGCTTGAGGTTTTTGGATTTTGGTCCTTCGTTAAGCAGCCATGATCGACAAAAACAATACACCACCAGTGCCTCATCGGTCAAAATACGTAGAAAAGTAATAGAAAAGACGCAAAACGTAAATACTGCAAAAAAATAACCGTAAGATAGATAACATACGAGTAATTGTATCCATATTATGGAACTGGTATCACTGATAGAGAATAATATCGGTATAAGGTGTGTGTCTTGTAAAACAAACATCAAAGTAAGGACTTCTGAACTAAATGTTTTATATTCATAAAATATTAAATAATATTTTCAACTAATAGTCATGTATCTTTTGTAGTAAAAATCCAGGCTGGTATGTATTTTTTTTAATGAAACACGACTGTCATATTAATAAACTAAATTTCGATTTAAAGCTTTCGTGACTGCAAGGATTCATCTTCTTTGGTTCTTTCGGTAAAGTCACGTAGAATGAGAATAAAATAATAAATTGATAAAATAAAATAACACAATAAAATTCTCACGACGTTTCGGCCACAACACAAGCAGCCTTCATCAAGGCCTGATTTTATCAATTTATTATTTTATTCTCATTCTACGTGACTTTACCGAAAGAACCAAAGAAGATTAATAAACTAGTTTTAAGCTTGCATTAAAAATATGAAAATATGTAGATATAATGATGAAAGTGCAATCTAGAGAAAATCGATATAGTAGCATGCAATCCTGCTATGAACTGCATCCAACTGGATAATAAAAAAAATGTTACCTATTGCGACGTTATGGCTAAACATTATATCTCTGGTGTCACTTGTATCCCTCGCTCAGAGACGTAAATTGTTTATAAATAACTTGCTGCCATTTAATCTACCAGAGAAAAAACTTTTGCAGGATCACGAGGGATGCCAATGGCTTGGCGAGGACTTTATACAGCAGTGGATTTATCACGGCTGGTGACAATGGTGTTAATGAGACATTTCTCAAAATAACTGCCTCGAAATATCATTTGGCCCTTACTGGGGCCAACTAGAGGCCAATTGGAGCCACAGGCATTGCTGATCACAGGCATTATTGATATGTATGTTTAACTTATTTCACACCGTACGTAGCCAACCGTGCTAACCGGTGGTGTGGGGGAAGGACAACAAACAAAATCCAAAACCAGTTCTAAAGAAATTCGTTTTCAATCTAGATTTAAAAGTGCATAGCTCTCGTGGCCTCTTAATATCGGAAGGAAGAGAATTCCAGACGGCCGCAGAAGCGCACCTACAAGCGGGCGATGCCGGTAACCGTCTTTGCTCGATGACCAACCAAAAGCCACTGCGAGGATGCCTGTAGTTATACCCCTTGGTATCTGACAACGCAGTAGAATAACGCACGCACCAAGGGCTGCTTGGCGGTGAACTCCAGCTCGGTTGAGCTCTGGCCGGTTCCGTTGGGAAGCGCTGGCGCCGAGAAGACGCCGGCCACGGCGGGCGGGCGGGCCGCGGCGGTGCGGGCCTGCGCGTGCGCATCCACCTCTCGCATGATGCCCCACGCCTCGCCGCGCTCCGACATCTCGCGCACCCCGGGGCTGGCGAAGCGGCTCGCTCGCCACATCTGAAAGGGGCGCCCGTGCACCACCGCTAAGGGGAGAGAGAAACCGGTGCACGGAAAGAGAGAGAGAGAGAACATTTTCCACTGCAGTATTTTTTTTCGTGACGAACGAATTCTGAGGCCTCCCTCGAGGGCCCCCAATATGTTGGGAGGCCCTTCCCGCCGTCAGCGGTGTAAGCAAGTCGCCGCCCGGCCGCACCTTTTGCAAGGTTTCTTGCGTGTCAAAATTGTGGCACCATCTAAGCGTCTCCTTGTGCCTATCGGTGGTGGTTGGTGAAGCTCTCCGTCGTTGGCGGTCCTGAGCCACTGGTAACGATTCTGAATTCCTATGATGGAGACCTGTTTATCCACAGAATGACCCCCGTTGACTTCATATCGAGTGGTGCCGACTATAACAGGCTTAATATTATGACCACCTTACACCAATGCATCATCATTACATTTTCATCTCGAGGAGTTAGGCCAGGGGTGTACTTCTTTTTTCGATTATTAGCTAGCTACTCTTCATAGGCTACATATAAAATGTTGTCATCACATTTGCACCAACCTGCATTGATCGGTGAGGTGAAGTATGGTCAATCAACCCCCATGACTGACATGGGGGCCTTTATCCTGCAGTGGATTCAATTTGAGAATTTAGTGACCATGGAAGCCTATATGTACACCTCTAGAAATAAACATGTGTATACGTGATATCTGCAGATATAATAACACACTTCTAAAAATGCTACTAAAAGGTAAAATATAGCATGGAATATCCCAAATACAAATAACTTGTAAACAAGAGTGCATTATTGATTTTAAGCTTTGCAAACTTGGGTAATCTCCCCCCCCTCCCAACTGCTATTTTAACCATGCAGGCACAATACTGTACTGTACTTTCATTCTCACCACTCTCTTGCCTTCATCTGGGGCTCTGTACCATCCTTACTTCGATCTTTCTCCAACTCCCAATTCTCACATTTCATTCCTCTCTCTTCAACTTTCCCATGCATACTAATCAACCCCCCCACAGACACGTGTAGTGCACATTATCTGAATCTGAATTTACATATGAATGGGGAGAATCTGGTGGAGACAATCCTTCCTATTCAAAAGCAAGAAGCATACGTGGTCAAAACACGAAAGGCAGTAATCCATGAAGAAGTTAAGATTTAGATTTTCTCTAAGCGAATTCAGCTGTTACGCATGGATGACGATGACCACTATCATGATAATCACCAGCATCATGATGATGCTGATGACTATCAGTTCATGCGAACTCATGACGCGTTAGAATAAACTTTATTTTTCCTACCCTCAAAAGATGACCGCTCTCTTTAGCCAATGATCTCAGCTGCTGTGCGCGGGTGGCGACGATGTTGATCTACGACGAACCCGCCCGCATTCACCCACCCACAAGAGATGACCACTGAGCAGGTGGACGGAAGAGCGGGTACTGCTTGGGGAAGGATGTCTGGCTCCAGCGGCCGGTGAACACCAGCTGGTACTTGGGGTGGCCTCCGGCTGAGCACTTGTACGGAGAGCCGGTGGGAGCACCCCAGACGCAGCAGCAGCAGCATGCCAGCGCTGCGCAAACGGCGCCCACAGGAGGCAGCGATCTCATGCCGGCCGGCGTGGCGGGGCTCTGGCTTGGGGCTGCAGTGATACAATCAATGGCATCCCCTTGTTTTTAGTGAAATGTCTCGATTGCGACACGGCGTGTGGGCCTGTGTTCGTGTTGTACGCAGGTCACGGTGTGTTCGACACCAGGACTGAGAGAGCTGTGTTGCTTTTTTTTTGCGTGAATAATTTGTGTATTGTATAGATGTCGGTATTGTTGAGCGATCATAAGTGACAAATGCATTGTACATTACTCGTGCCGTTACAAGCCAGAAGTCTTGTAATTGTATGGGATCGGCTGTTTGAAATTTATTTATTCTTTCGTTCTCCACGACTTAAGAGCCGCATGGCTCACAGGGCTATACCTAATAAATGAAACTTGAAACTTGAATGTATTGCAATTCTGTGCCAAACCCCATGTGTATCTTCAAAAAGTTAACGATGCATAATCGCCTGTTTTGGGATGTTCATATTGTTCTCAATACACAACATACATTAATTTCTGTACCGTAATAAGCTTGAGTTTCCCCCATAAAATGTAACAACATATAAACCTGACCCACTGAGTAGTGCACTTGAATGATTAATTGCATCCACTCGTTTACACACGAGCCTTGTTCTTACTCCCTCGTCGTGAATTGCATTTCACCACAGTCGTGAACCGTGCGAATAGAAACATTTCAATGCAGCACATTCCACTGGCGCTCGGGCTAGTCACCAACCACATCCACGTGCATGCACGGCTTTAAAGTCTCCGGACGGGATGGAAACATCCAACGGGCAAAAAAAAACCGCATCTGAAATGTGGCTCGCACTGTCAAGTCGTCTACAGACACGAAATGAAATAGCATGAAGCAAAAATGTCATTTTTCAAAGTATTCCCCATGTCCTGCAATTAGTGAGCTCAATGCACTGCTAATTCACTTTAGTAAGCCATACACGATTAGATTAACACACATTTTCCGTTAATACTTAAACTATAACACATTGCAACATGTGGTGTTGGATATTTTTTTTTCTATATATATACCTATCAAACGTAGAAAACAGTCAACCGCTTGAAAGTGCCCGCGTGTGCAGCCATCGGGTTACCTGTTTGGAGGGATGGGGAGGCGATGGGTGATTTTGGCTGAGCGAGGTGTGGAGCGCTCCGTCTCGCGCAGCTTTCGTGCAATTTATACCCCACGATTTGGCAGAGCCTCGTCTCCTGGGAACAAATTACGGCGCTCAACGCGCTCCTCCCCCAAAAAACACAATTCCCCGAGCCAAAATCCACCGTTAGCCTCCACCCACCCAGCGCCCCTTCCAGCCCCTCTCACGAGTCGTCCTCCACCGACTCTCTCTCTCTCTCGCTAAAACAACTCATTTTGTACTTCACCTCTTTGTGTCCATCAACTACCCACCCCCTCCTGAAAGGACTGGCGGTGCAATGGTTACGTTACGTACGTTGGACTTCTTTCGCCCCGTACGTAGCCAACCGTGCTGATTGGAGGTGCGTGGGAGAGGGGGGGGGGGGTTAGGACGACAAACTATAAACACGAAAAGCAGCTCTAAATAAATGAGTTTGTCAATCTAGATTATTTCAAATTGCATAGTTCCAGTGGCTTCTTAATATCGGAAGGAAGAGTGTTCCAGACGGCCGCAGAAGCGCATCTGAAAGCGCGCGACGCATTGAGCGTCTTTGTTCGATGGCGAGCCAAACGCCGCTGTGATGATGACCGGAGCTCACGTGGTGCTTTATGCTCCTTGACGAGATCGGGTTTGCCGACTGCCCTCTGAACCTAGAAACCCGAGTTTGATGCCCGGTCATAGCTAGAATCAGTGGCAGTTGATGTTTGAACCAATTCTACGCTCCCCTACAGCCTCCTTTGTTAACCGACATGCGGCACAGTGTTAGGAAGTGAAGTCAAACAGCACCAATAACTGAAATGACAGACCTTCAGCTAGCATTGGATTGAAAAAGGGCTGGAAACTGGATACTGTATGTATTCCACTCAAATTCCTATACGTGGCCTGCCCATCTTCACTAATCCTACACATATACCCATTACACAATGTACACCTTACAGAATTTCACAACATGTACTAAGTCACTTGCAGCATTATCATACAATTTTATGGTAGCACATCTGCATCGATTTTCACGGTTGTGCTGTTTGGATCTCTGTTTTTTTTCTCTCCACATGCTGAGAACTTCTTCAGGAACTGAATATTCAGTTCCATCAGGAACTTATTTTTTAATATTTGCTAGTTTTTCTCCAGTTTACTCCCGTTCCTGGAGGAACTAAATGTTCAGTTCTTGAAGAAGCTCCGAGGATATGGAGCGAAACATCGAACATCATGTCGAACAACATGCAACACAACCCAAAAACACATCCGTAGTAGGAGTCGCTAAGCCATCACTGGATTATTTCTAGTCTTCCTCCAGGTGGCGCTATCCATCGCCTCTAGCCGGGCCTCCTGGATAGGCACGGTCCACATCGAGCGCGACGATCCGTGAGCATCAAGTTCACCGTGGGCGTCCTCTTGGGCGAGACCACGACCCTTTGGGCGTTTGCTCCGGATCTGATTTCAACACTCGACCCCAAAAGGGCCGAGCTAAGCCGGAACCGTCTGCTCGAAGATGAGCTACGTGCCCGGATAGGCCAAGACGGCGGTGTCGGATGAGGTCCTCTATGTTAGAGAGACAACGGGTGCGGGATGATGTCACGGTGGCAGAACACACCAGAGAGCTATTGAATGGTAGCACCTCTAGTGGTTGCAGAGGTGACATGAACCCATTAAAACAGACACCTAAAATACTGACTGACAAATGCGATTTGACGCATTGGCGTGAACGTAATAATTGATAAGTTAATGGATTATTCCACCCATACTATTGACATTTACGAGCCAAAGGAATTCTACACATTGTATAAATATTAACGACATTCTTTTCCATATATTTGAAATATGTGCTATACAGTATTTGAAAGCACTTTGCCTATTTATGTGAACAAATTGTCATTGAGACGTCATGAACTTGTTTGTAAGCATTCTGCCATGACAAAAATGTGTTTTTTTTTAACAACTAACCGGACTCACCTTGCACCTATCCCTCAATAAAAATCATCTCTACCCCATCTACTCTAACCACATGCAAACCTCAACTGTATACTCCCTACATCCCTTTCCCACTCAGCCTCAACTTTCAACTAAAACCTCCCAACTTCTCCAATCCCTCCCTCCCCACGCCGCGCACAAGCCGCCCAAACTGTTCCAGATGTTCAGAAGAAATCGGGGCAAAATAAGTAACTAAATTAATAGCCGGAGTGCTATAACTATTTAACTACTGCAATCACCTCTGCGATCAATTAAACTGACAGCTGCACTAATGCCCGTTCCTTTCTTTCTGATTAAAATAGAATTATTGCTATTCGTTTTTTCTCGTGCGTTTAAATCACGTGCAGCAAATGTGTAAAAAGTGGCAAAAGAAAGGCTTAATTGTAAATAGGTTAATTGCATTCCATGGCACATGTTCCATAAACATAGACACCGGTAATACACCCTGCAGATTTCCTACATCCGCTACAGCTTCCCCTGGAAAGGTGCTGCTTTTGTGACCTTTGCAGTAATTTTTCCACGAAAACAGTACCACGTATATATTTGTCTAATTGATTTAAAATTTAAAGGCCCCCCCCCCCCCATTCTGTTTACGTCCTTTCTGATCGTGAATCATGCCACCGACAGATCAGGTGCTCGAAACTTGTATGACATTTGACCTAAACATGTGCTCAACAGTCAAGTTGGCAATGCAAACAATGAATGCCATGAGACCGCACATATTGTTCTATTCTATGAAATTTAAAAATAATATACATTCCTGTCATTCATCGGGGATATTTTGACCGTGCATTATCCTGGTGAGTGTGGCTTGGTAAAGGAGAGGCTGCCCAGGACTGGTTCAGATTTCACTCGCCATTGATTTAACCAGTGGCCATGTTTATAGTACGGTGCACTAACTACAGCACAACTGCTCCCCCACCTCGTGCTATGCCATACCAGTGCAAAATATATTTTTTATTGCATGAAAAAATGCAATACTACTTCATAAAATAAAACTGTACAAAGTGGTGGAACTGTGTTTAACACTGGAGAAAACACGTATTTCTAGACATGATGCTCGACATTTTTCTGCACGTGCTGAGAGTTTATTTCCATATTCTGGGAGCTTCTTCAGGAACTGGATTGTAAAATGTCAACCCCGTTGGAACTGAAGAAGCTCCCAGGACATGGTGATAACGTTGCATATCACACCGAACAATGCTCGGTACAAACTGAAAACACATCAGAGGTAAACTACTATAGAGTACAAATACATGTTTTCGTGCTCCTCCACAGAGCTGTAAAACCATCATCAAAATAGTTTACCACGGATGTCAGCGACTGCTGAAACAGGCACAGCTTTTGCTCTGCTGCCTTGTGTCTAATCCAGAGAAGCTCAACAAGGAAAGCCTTGGAAGGACAGATCCGTTGCCAGGTCACAGCGCACCCTTCAAAAAAACATTTTATAGTACATTTAATTTGAATTACTGTAAACACGTTCTGTCTTTCATGATTTCGTTTCTGGTAGGACTATGCATGCCTGATTTATTTAAATATAACACAACTCTTTACGTATTCTCTACTACTAATAATACATTGCATTTAATTCGACAGATTTCTATTGCTGCTGGTACTTGGCCACATAGGTTAAATTGTCATGGGTCTCAGCTTCTGGATTGTTTTACAAACTATTGTTTTGCATCGTATCATATGAAAGTGGAATGCGGCCATTGTAAATAGTAAATTATGCTGTAATTTACATGAGTGAAGTAGGACAGAATTCTAAAAGAAAAATATTTGAAGAATCAGTTTCAGCAGCCGTACTAGAGTGTGTAAGTATATTTCGTTTTAAAATGGGTTGCAGCTCTTTCAAGACAAAATATAGATGAATACATAAAACATACACAAATATACATGGGTTTAGGTGAAAATGTTGGCACAATCATTTGTGGCAAGTTCCAAAAAATAATTACATGGTGCCTGTTTTGTATTAGCAAGCCATTTTACATCCAATATGGCCTTAATACTTGCACTGCTTTTACTTAAAGTAGAGTCACAATAATTATAACGGCTTTGTAAAAATGCCAACCCATTGGATACAGCTCTGACAAACATTCCTTCCTTGTAACGTTGTCCCTTCTACCCATCAAAACTAAAATGTCATAAATAATACAAACAGGTTCAACACGATCATCATCATCATCATCAACCATGACCAATGCACTGCTAGATGAAGCCTTCCTCAAGCTAGCTCCCGCATACAAGCTGATCTCATTGCCACGTTTTAGTGCTATAGACGTCCTCGTCGGCATATTCACGCCTTTGGATGTCACTCCATCGTTAGTATGGACCACAGTCATCACCTCTTACTTCTCGTCACGGTTAATATGATCGCTAACTATTGTAAGTTATGTAATCCATGTGTTCATCTTTCTGTTTCTCGATTCAATTCCAAGGATGCATCTCTTTCTATGGTTCTTTGTGCATCTTTCAGATTGTGTTCCCTTTTCTTTGTCAACGTGAAAGTTCTTGATCCACGTCATAGCAGGTAATATTCACTCAATAAAAAACGTTTTTTTCTTAGACACATTGCTTTTCATTATGAAGTTCAGATTTGTCAAAAAATTACTCCAATATTACATATGCCATAAACGTCATCAATTTAGTAACAATGAAATTGTCAAAATTGTAATGTATAATCCATTACAAGCCACTGCTATATGAAGGCCTTCCCATACCATGTCAGTTATAGAGGTTGTTTAACCATACTACACCATCATGTTAAGAACTTAAACCGAACTGAAGGAATCATGTCTGAATTAACCACATATACTTTTGGTGAACATGCAAACAAAAAACATGCTCTGGTAGTATATGCGTTGTGTTTGAAACTGATTGGTCCACACCAGAGACAGATTTTTTTAGACCCTGGTCTCAAACAGTATTAGACCAGAGGACGCTAAAAGGCGAACAGCACAAAAACAATGCCACTATCAGGGCATCGGGAGCTCGAGGCGAGCAGCTACATCATGGGACCTCCCAGAGACAATGCATATACTACCAGAACATGTTTTTTTTTTGCATGTTCACCAAAAGTATAATGAACCTTGTGGCGGGACCCCGGGGTCCCGCATAAACGGAAGTCAAAATCTTAATGAATGATTATTTTTTTATCGACTCCGTCCCACCGCGCACAT